TGGCTACCAACCGGTTGCTCAGGTGCGGAACCGAGGCAGCTACGGATGAGGGTGGAGGTGTTGTAGTGGGTATGTCAATCTGTTTCCCGACCTCAATGTGATGGCACTCACATTCTTAGGATTAACCACAGTCTGCGCAGGGAGCTTGTCCGAATTTTGATTTTGCAATTGATTCACGACGAGTAGCTAGTTGACCAATCTGGTTGGTTAAACTCCGAATGGAGGCATCATTTTTCCGTTGGTACTCGTATGTTCATCTCGACCATTTGTTTGACCAATTCCTCTAATGAAGGTGAAGAAGGTTGAGGAGCTGGTGCTTCATTTCGCTGCCTCGATATTGTTGTTGCATTGGTGGAGGCACATAAGGTCCGCTTGGACCAGCGAGACTGCGAAATGGTGGTGGTGGCAAAGGATTCTGCTGCTGTTGGTGTTGTCGATTGGACCATCTCGGATTTGGGTGATTCCTCCACCCTGGATTGTATCTATTGCTTGAGAGGTCAGAATTATGTTGTTGGTTCGGAGCCCTATTATTGAAAATGTTTGCTGCATAAGCTTGTGGAGCTCCAAAACTTGTAGACTCATGCAATAATTGGCGAGCAATCGGTGGGATGCTCAATTGAAGTACAAATGCCACAAACCCTTGCAGGTGGTGCAGGTCTCGATTTGCGGCAAGTTGGGAGACTAGGGTGGTGAGGGCATCAATCTTACTTTCTAGCTTCTTCTCCACTAAATCTGATGAACCCACATCATGTACACCTCTAAGGACTATGGCATCACTCCTCATGTTAAATTGTTGGGAATTGGATGCCATCTTCTCAATTAAATCTCTAGCAGCAGCAGGTGTCATGTCTCCTAAAGCTCCTCCACTAGCTGCATCTATCATACTCCTATCCATTGTGTTCATCCCCTCATAAAAGTACTGCAGCAGTAGTTGTTCTGATATTTGGTGGTGAGGGCAACTTGCACAAAGTCTCTTGAACCTCTCCCAATACTCGTATAAGCTCTCTCCCATCTCGTTGCTCGATACCCGATATATCCTTCCCGATGGCAGTGGTCCTAGAAGCGGGGAAAAATTTCTCTAGAAAAACTCTCTTCAGATCATCCCATCTCGTTATAGGACTAGGAGCTAAGTAGTACAACCAGTCTTTGGCAAGATCCTCCAAAGAGAAAGGAAAAACCTTCAGGTATATGTGATCTTCAGGAACATTTTGTGGCTTCATGGTGGAGCGAGACTATATGGAACTCCTTGAGATGCTTGTATGGATCCTCACCGCACGACCATGAAACTTGGGCAACAAATGGATTAGTCCAGCTTTTAAGCACAAATGGTACATCCTCTTCGGGGTATTGGATACATATATTTGCATAAGTGAAATCAGGTGCGATCATCTCCCCGAGAGTCCTCTCATGAGGTCCAATAGGTTGATCACCCATGTGTATTAGTTTGGAAATTATCGGAAGAAGATATATTAGGTGCAGTACTATCACTATGACTATCTAATGGTTCGAGACTCAAGAGATGAATTCCTAGAATGTCTAACTAATCTATGAAAGGTTCTATCTATCTCGGGATCAAAAGGTTGTAAAAGGTCGGGATTGCTCCTAGTCATGCACTATATTCAACAATTCATGTATTTCCCAAGAGTTAAAAAAAAAATTCCTAAAAAAATCGGTTGTTTATCTGGAAAGACAACGGTAGACGCGTGAATAAGTACACCGGGTAGGTTCCCAAGAAAGAGAGGTGGGTCACTAATGGACACGTTTAAGTACCAAATCTTTCCTAGCAGTAACCCTCCTAGACATGCACTCTCACACTACCAAGCTATATCCAGAGTTTCTTATGAGAATGGAAATTATAAATTTTTTTTTTTAATAAAGCTAGAAAAACAAATTAGAGATGAAATTGTTTTTTTTTTAATTATTATTTATATATATATATATATATATATATATATTTTATATATTTATTTTTTTTGTTATTTTTTATTTTTATTTTTTTTATTTTTTTTATTTTAACCCAAAAGAGTTTTAGAACACAGTGAGCTATCAAAATAGTATTAAGAGAAGTAAGAATTTTAAATTAAATAGAAAATCAAATAAAATATCCAATTAACTGAAAATCAAATATTAAATAACTTAAAATCAAATAAAATATTAAAAATTAGCAAATCAAATAAAATATTCAATTAACTGAAAATCAAATAAAATATCCAAATAATTGAAAATCAAATATTAAATAACTAAAAATCAAATAAAATATTTAAATAACAGCAAATTAAATAAAATATCCTAATAACAACAAATCAAATAAAATATTCAAATAACCGTAAATCAAATAAAATATTTAAATAACTAACAAATCAAATAAAATATTAAAAAACTGAAAATCAAATAAAATATTTAAATAAAATAAAATAAAAACAAAAAAATGAAAACAGAAACGAGAAAATAAAAATTGAAAACCTAGACAAAAATCTTGGTCCCGGCAACGACGCCAAATTTGATCGATGTCGTACTTCGGTCAAATAATTAAAACAGATAAATGTAGTACTAGGAAGCTTTCCTAGGTCGTCTCCCAAAGACCACAAATTTCTATCAAAGTTTATCAATTTTTAGTAACAAAAAATTAAAAGGGGAGTTTTTCAAAATTAAAATATTAGATGAAACAAAACAAAAACAGATTATAAAAATGCGGATTAAAAATAGATTAAAATGCAATTGATTTTCCGATTCTAATGCAGCGTCACTTATCCTAGATTACGAAATTAATTCGAAATTAACTGACTAAGCGAAGATAAATCCCAAATTATATTCTAATCCAAAATAAATCAACTAAGCGAAGATTAATCTCAAATTAGCTTTAACCCTTGTTCCAATATGAAATTAACCAACTAAGCGAAGATTAATCCCAAATTTTCCTTAACCCTTATTCCAACATGAAATTAACCAACTAAGCGAAGATTAACCCCAAATTATCCTTATACAATTAAGCATTGCATACATCACATAATCTCATATCTAACACAGAATTAAGCAAACTGTGATATAAGTTTCGGTTTATTAAGCATAAACAGATTATAATTCAATACTGAGATTAGAAGATGAAGAGTTAAGAGAACAAACAATATGAAATTGAAGAACAAAACCTCAAAGATCTACTTGCATTCTTCTCAGAAAATCAATACAAAGATTTAGCTATCCATAGAAAGTTGAAAACGCAATAGAAGAAACATAATTAAAATTGAAACAAGAATTTAAAAATAATGACAGAAGAGTAACAAACTTGAATGTAAATTACAGAAGATGAAAGACGGAAGTGTGGTGGCTGCCTAGTCCTTGTGTGATGTCTCTTTTCGTGTGATGTGCCTCTCTTATATAAATAACCCTAACCCTAACCCTAATCTTAATCGAGGTTTGGGCTCAACTAGTCCATGAAACACATCATAAATTGGCTTCAGTGCAGGTCCATGAACTTCAAACACGTGCAGTATTTTCAATACTTATCCAAATTAAGCTATTTTGGTCTCCAAAGAAAGCCTTTTGAGCTAGCTTTAAAACGCCACCGTTTCTACTATTTTCGGAGCTCTAATGAATTTAGGACACTTAAATTACTGAAGCATGTCCATTGGGCCGGCCTGGTGCGCTTGACCCGTTTTGGATAATTTATGTAAAATCCAATTTAGCTCCGAATTGAATGATTTTGGATCCTGTGGAAAGCTCAATGTGTCTAGTTTATAATTATTTTAGAATTATGTTATTTGGAGATCTGTAGAAAAAATGATAAATAAAACAATAAACTAATGTCAGTACCCGTATAAAATAAAATATGACATTTGGCCCAATTTTTCAAGTCCAAAATTACTTTAAACTGTCCTAAAATTAATAATGAGTAAAAATTAGATCAAATAGATTAAAATCTAAATTATTAGCCCAATGAAGCCCAATCAATGAAAATGCACTAATAATAGACAATTAAACACAATGCACCAATTAAGATAAGTATATAAAGATAAGAAAATGCGGGAAAATAATGACTCATCAATGTTCCTCAACATTTTTGGGGTGATACTCTTCTTACTGCATGTTATCTCATTAATCGTATGCCTTCTTCGGTTTTAGATAATAAAATACCTCATTCCATTTTATTCCCTCATGAACCACTTCATCCTTTACCTATGAGAGTTTTCAGGTTTACATGTTTTGTTCATAATTTCAGTTCTGGTCTTGACAAACTTTCTCCTAGATCATATAAATGTGTTTTCTTAGGGTTTACAAGATCACAAAAAGGATACAAATATTTTTCTCCTTCTCTTAACTGTTATTTTGTGTCAAAAGATGTCACATTTGATGAGTTGTCTCTTTATTTTAAAAGTCAATCTTCACCTCTGTCTCCACTCAATCTTGTCAACACTCCTAATACATTTAATGTTCCTGTTGTTTGTGACCCTCTAACTGTGTATTCTTCACCATTAATTCCTGCTCCGTAGTCAGCTTCTTCTCCACTGCCTCTTCAAATTTATAGTTCTCGAAACCAATCACAACCACCACCATGTGACTCCAGTCAAATGTCAACTACTTTGTCTCCTCCGGATCTGCCACATGAGTCTGACTTTCCCATTGCCCTCCGAAAAGGTATTCGTTCTACACGTAATCCCTCTCCTCATTATATTGCTTTGAGTTATCATCGACTGTCATTACCTTTTTATACATGTATTTCCTCTATTTCTTCTGTGACCATTCCAAAAACTGTCCGTGAAGCTTTAGCCCATCCTGGTTGGCATCAGGCCATGTTAGATAAACTAAGTGTTCTTCATAATAGTGGAACTTGGGAATTGGTCTCATTACCGTCTGGGAAATCTATTGTTGGTTGTTGGTGGGTGTTTACTATCAAAGTTGGACCTGATGGTACTATTGATCGCCTCAAAGCTCGTCTTGTGGCCAAAGGTTATACTCAAATTTTTGGGTTGGATTATGGAGATACCTTTTCCCCTGTGGCAAAAATGGCTTCTGTTCGTTTATTTATCGCCATGACTGCTCTTCAACAATGGCCTCTTTATGAACTGGATGTTAAAAATGTTTTCCTCAATGGTGATTTGCAAGAAGAAATATATATGGAGCAACCTCCTGGGTTTGTTGCTCAGGGGGAGTCTTCTGGGATGGTATGTCGTTTTCGCAAATCCCTATATGGCCTAAAACAGTCTCCTAGGGCTTGGTTTGGAAAGTTTAGCAAGATTGTTCAATAATTTGGTATGACTCGGTGTGAAGCAGATCATTCTGTCTTTTATCGACACTCGAGTGTTGGATGTGTTTACTTGATAGTATATGTTGATGACATCGTTCTTACAGGTAATGACAACCATGGCATCTCTCAGTTGAAACAACATCTCTGTCACCATTTTCAGACTAAAGATCTTGGCAAACTTAGATATTTCTTGGGTATTGAGGTGGCACAGTCCAATGATGGTATTGTTATATCTCAGAGGAAGTATGCCATAGATATTTTGGAGGAAACTGGGTTGATGAGTTCAAAGTCTGTTGATACACCCATGGATCCCAATACTAAACTTCTACCAAATCGGGGGAGCCTATATCGATCCCGAGCAATATAGAAGATTGGTTGGAAAAATTGAATTATCTTACAATTACTCGTCCTGACATTTCCTTTGCAGTCAGTGTGGTAAGTCAATTTCTTAATTCACCATGTGAAGATCATTGGAATGCAGTCATTCGTATCTTGAAGTATATTAAAGGATCTCCTAGAAAAGGATTGTTATATGGTTCTAATAACCATACAAGAGTTGTTTGCTACTTAGATGCTGATTGGGCAGGATCTCCTTTGGATAGAAGATCTACATATGGATATTGTGTCTCCATTGGTGGTAACTTGATCTCATGGAAAAGTAAGAAACAAAGTGTTGTGGCAAGATCCAGTGCAGAAGTAGAATATAGAGTTATGGCCTCAGCTTCTTGTGAACTTGTTTGGCTCAAGCAATTGCTTAGAGTTACAATTTGGAGATGTCACTCAAATGACACTTGTGTGTGACAATCAGACTGCTCTTCATATTAGTTCTAATCCTGTCTTTCATGAGAGGACCAAACACATTGAGATTGACTGTCATTTTATTCGAGGAAAGATTATGTCTAGAGATATCAAGACTGAGTTTGTTAACTCAAGTGATCAGTTAACAGATATTTTTACTAAATCTTTACGGGGTCCTAGAATTGATTATATTTGTAACAAGCTTAGCACATACGATTTGTATGCTCCAGCTTGAGGGGGAGTGTTAGATATTGTTTAGATATTATTTGATATTGTTAAGATATTGTTAGATATTGGTAACCACAATATCAAAAAATATCTTCTGTTTATTCTGTTACTTTCAGTTACTCTTTTAGTTGTATCTCTTTACTATAAATAGACCACCCTATGTGTGATTTATACACAAGGGAGATTAATTTCAAACTCTATCTCCTCTATATTCAACAAAGTGCATTTCTCATGAAAATGATGGTGTGCGAGAATTTCTAGCTGAAGTTTCAAGCCTTGGGAGACTGAAACAAAGGAATTTGGTGGGGTTGAGAGGTTGGTGCAAGAAAGATGTTGAGAGTTTCTTATTAGTCTATGACTACATGGAAAAGGGTAGCTTAGACAAGAGGGTGTTTGATTGTGATGAGAGCAAGATGTTAAGTTATGAAGATAGGATAAGGATTGTGAAAGATGTGGCTTTTGCAGTTTTGTACTTGCATGAGGGGTGGGAAGCTAAGGTTGTGCATAGGGACATCAAGATCAATAATGTTTTACTTGATAAAGATATGAATGGAAGGCTTGGGGATTTTGGGTTAGCCAGAATGCACAACCACGGTCAAGTTGCAAGCACCACAAGATAATTCCTCAATACATATTTTAGTAGAATATATTATTATCATAAATAGATGGGATGAGTTGAAGGAAATAATAGATGTGGATGTTGAAGTGTAATATATTGGTGACTAGTCATAGCCACTCAATAGATGACATGATGCACACTAAATCCTCAAACTCTTACCTTTTAAAACACCTCTCTAATGATGATTATTTTTCTCTATTCCTCAAATCTGCTTTTGAAGATGAAGATGAGAAAAAACATCCACAACTATTGGAGATTGGAAAGAAAAAGTAAAAAAATGTGGAGGGTTACCGTTGGGGAGTTCACTGTTCTCAAGGGTTGATAAGAAAGAGTGGGAGTTTATAAGAGACAATGAGATTTGGAATTTAAGACAAAATGAAAAAGGCATTTTGTCTACTCTTAAATTAAGTTACGATCAACTACCTTCGTATTTAAAACCATGTTTTGCTTCTTTCACACTTTTTCCTGTGGACACTAATACTTATGGTTCTGGAGTTACTAAGGTGTGGGAAGCTCTTGGTTTTCTTCCACCACCAAAGGAATATGAATCAATGGTTACTGTTGACAAGCAAATTTTGCATGAGCTATGGTCAAGATTTTTTTTTTTTCAGATTATATTGACTTTGGGGGTGATTGTTGTTTTCAAATACATGATTTGGTAAGTTATCTTTCAATGTATATTGCAAAAGGTGAGTTTTGAAAAATAGATTCCGTGAATCTAAAAATATCTGAGTATGCTCAACATTTGACATTCATGGAAAGTTATATGCTTGATTGAGTTCTTCTTCCCATAGGTCTAAGAAGTGTATTTTGTCCTAAGGGAGCCAACAATGAGGTTTGCTTGAAAAAATCAGTTGCAAAGTGCAAATACTTGAAGTTTTTACACTTATATTCTTCTAAATACGAGAGTTTACCTCGCTGCATCGAAAAGTTGAAACATTTCAGATATCTCAGTCTTACGGGTTGTGAAAATCTTGAGGAACTCCCTGATTCAATATGCAAACTTCAAAATTTGCAGACTTTGAACGTCAATCGATGCATAAAGCTACAAAAATTACCCAAAGGAATAGGAAATCTAATATACCTTCGTCACCTGACTATAACCACCAGACAACCTGATTTTCCTGAAAAAGAGATTGCAAATTTGACTTCTTTAGAAATTTTACATTTTCTTAATTGTGATAACGCGGAGACATTGTTCACAGGGATACAACTTCCTAATCTTAAAAATTTGTTTTTGATTGAATATGGGAATCTGAAGTTAGTGTCATTTCATGCCATTAGAAATGTAGAGGTTTTGAGGATCACAAAGTGTTGTAAGTTGGAATTGTGGATGGGCCTTAACAGTCAAATCCCGGATTTTTCTTGTTCTTTTTTATTTAGCACAGTTGATCACTTTGCCTCAGTGGTTGGAAGGATCTGTGAACACCTTACATACCTTAGTCTTTCTCACCCCTGTAGTAAAAGAAAAAGTTATGTTTTACTTTGAGAAATGATGTTTTGTTTATTTAGAATTAATCTTCATTTGATTTACTTCATTTAATCTTTGCTTTTCATAGTTTGTTGGTGCACAGGAGAGTAATGCTAGTGTCTGTATAAAATTTCTTGGAGATTCATTTCACTTGGGTATGTCATGGACTAATATTAATTATTAGTGCTTGCAGATTCTACTAAGGTAGCTAGCTACCTGTATTTTGGGTTTCTATCCAAAATTGTGTTTGGATTGCCTAGGTTCGATTCCCATTTCAACAATTCAAATTACCTAACTTGAAACTTGTGTTTATTATGACTTTCTTCTTATTTTTTTTTCAAGTAAAAAAAAAATTGGAGAAACTCGTCATAAATAGATTTTTGTTGTTGATTCAAGTTCATTTTTGAAGTTTAATTTTTCCTTTAAATGACATCAAACATGTTTTTTTTTTCATTAGTATATTTTTTAGTTTTATTAAACCAGCTATAAGAGTAATGAGATCAAATCAAAGATGGATGTTACAAAGAAATAATTAATTCGACATTATAACTGAAGAATTTAGAAATAGTGTTGATGGTTTTATTCAAATAGCGACAAGAGACCCGAAATTTGCTGATGTAGCAGTGCGTATTCCTTACCCGTGTGGAAAATATAGGAATCGTTATTGGAATGTATCATTTAATGTGGAAAAACATTTGTATTACCATGGATTTATGGATGGTTACACAAATTGGATCCTTCATAGTGAGGAAAGATGGACCGATGATGTATCAACTTCTGTCTTTCAAGAACATAATGAGGATAATAGAAGTCCATATATTTATATGGTTATGAATGTTGCTTATGTTAGATTAAATCCAAAAGTAGAAGAGGTGCAAGAGGACACAAATCCATTAGCTAAAAAGTTTTTTTTTAACTTATTAAAGGATGTTGATGAACCTTTATGGGATGGTTGTAAGAAGCATACAAAGTTATCAGCCATAACACAACTGTTAAACCTGAAGTCAGAGTTTAACATGAGTGTTAATTGTTATGATCGAATGATTGCTATAATCAAAAGCATGCTTCTAGATTCAGAAAGGTTGCCTGAAAATTTGTATAGATCGAAGAGAATGGTTAATGAGTTGGGATTAGGATATGAAAAGATATATGCATGCCTAATCATTGCATGCTATATTACAAAAAAAATAGTGACAAGAATGCTTGCTTGGTGTGTAAAGAACCACGATTTAAACTGAAGACATCTTTAAAAAATAAAGATGTGTCTTACTCAGTGTTGAGATATTTCCCTATTGTTCCAAGACTCCAACGTCTATTTATGTCTATTCATACTTCAAAATATATGCGTTGACATGTAGATGGAGTGTGCCAAGATGAATCAATTGAAAGTAATGAAGATCTTATTTACTTTGGCAAAGATCTTGTTGATTTGATGAAGTCAAAGACAACTCTGTGGCAGTCAAAGGTCACTTAAGATAAAAGATAAGAGGATTAGTATGTCTGCAGCTCTGCTTAGGTATAACCATTTTATCTTTCTGCTGCATGTGGTTTCTTCACTTAAAAAAATTCTACAATTGCCTCTAAAAAATGTTTTAACTGTTAAAAACAAAACATTTTGACAAAAGGATTTTTAATCAACTATTTTAACTGATAGTATATGTGGTTTATCAACTAAAATGTTCTTCACACTTCTATAACAGGTTTTCAACTGATATAACTTCAAAATAACCGATTGTTTTCATTAAAAGAAGTGTTGAAAACTTTCTGTCAGTATTTTAACTAATACAATTTCGAAATAACCGATTGAAATCACTTAAAAAGATCAGGGAAGTGTTTTTTCAGTATTTTAGTCGATATAACTTCGAAATAATCGATTAAAACCACTTGGTATATCAAATGACCGATCAGAATGGCTTTATGACCAATCAGAACCAGATATGATCGATCAGAATAGATTTATGACCGATCAGAACCAGATATGATCGATCAGATTTGAGTTATGACCGATCAGAATTATTTTAATCGATTAAAACATGTTTCAATCGATTAAAACAACTTGGAAAATGTGTACTAAACGTTTCAATCGATTAAAACATATTTTTATCAGTTAAAATCACTTGGAAAAGTTTATAAAAATGTTTTGCAGTATTTTAATCGATTGAAAGTTGAAACAATCGATTTAAACAGATTAGAAGATTTTTTGAAAAGAGTTTTAATTGATATAAACGTTGTCGTATCAGTTAAAACAAATTTGGAAAATAATCAAGAATGTTTTAATGGATTAAAAGAAGATTTAACAGATTAAAACAAGTCTTTTAACAGATTAAAAGATTATTTTAACAGATTAATTAAACCAGCAGTTTTGAAAAATCTTCTATATAAACAAATTGCTTGAACTTTTTTAAACATATCTTTTACACAACTTTTAGCAATCAATCAGGCAATCAAAAGTGCTAATTTCAAGAAAGAATCACGTTTGTTTTTGTGACGTTCATCAAAGTTCTTTCTTGAGGCAAAATTGCATTTCTTTGGAGAAGAAACACATTGTAGAACTGCATAAAATTTATTTGAGTGTTCTTAGTTTCTTATGTTTGTTTCTTTACTTTCTTTTACTGTATTATGGGTGCCTGAAATTGTGGGCACTGGTTTTCTGTAGCTGGAATTTGGCTGCAGAGTAGTTCAAGAACTGTAATTTGGTTCTTGGTGAAAGGTTAGGTACAGGAACTGAAATTGTGGTTCTTGTGTTAGATTGAGTGTAAGGTTAAGGTTGTAATCTGTAAAACATTCAATCTAGTGGAACCCAGCTGGAAGTTGGCTGGAGACTGGACGTAGCCCTGGGATTGGGTGAACTAGTATAAACCTTGGTGATATCTTTCTAAACCTTTCTCTTCTTTAATTTTGTGACTGCATTTATTTTTGATTGCTTGCTGTGTATGATTCAAGAATTGATCAGATTTCTTAATCTTTAAAATTGATAATCTGTTAATTGCAAAAATCTTTCAAAGATCAATTCACCCCCCCTCTTGATCTCAGCCTACATTTCTAACATCAATGATGACACATCTAGCTGATGCACAAGCTTGGAAAATATTCAATGAAACACATCATACATTTGCTCATGATCCAAGAAATGTTAGACTTGGACTTTGCACAAATGGTTTTAATTCATTCAGTAATTCAGGTAACCCATATTCATGTTGGCATGTTTTTGTCACACCTTACAATCTTCCTCCAAATATGTGTATGAAAGGGAATTCATATTTCTTACTCTTGTGATTCCTGGACCCAAGTCACGTGGTAAAAGTTTAGATATTTATTTGGAACCTCTAATCGATGAGTTGAAAATCTTATAGAAGATTGATGCATTGAAAAGATAGAATTTCATTATGAAAGCGGTTCTAATGTGGACAATAAGTGACTTTCCAGCTTATGGAATGTTGTCTGGATGGAGTACTCATGAGAGAGTAGCTTGTCCATATTGTATGGGGGATATTAAATAATTTAGATTGAAGAATGGTGGTAAACCTTGTTGGTTTGATTGTCATCGTCGATTTTTTCTTATCAATCATCCTTTCATCATGATCAATGCTCTTTTAAGAAGTTGGTAGTTGAGAACTCTTTAGCATCACAAGAATTCAGTGGCATAGATGTATCAAAATGTAGTGACTCAACTTCATAAAATTATCTTTGGCTTAAAATCAGGCAAGCAAAAGCAACCCGACTTTGGTAAAACCCATAATTGTAATTGGGTTAACAAGAGCATATTTTGGGAATTGCCTTATTGGTCTACTAATATAGTTCGACATAATTTGGATGTTATGCATATTGAAAAAAAAATGTGTTTGACAACATCTTTAACACTGTGATGGACATAAAGGGTAAGATGAAAGATACTGCAAATGCAAGACAAGATTTGAGATTGATATGTAAATGTCCTAGATTAGAGCTAATGGTGGAAAATGATAAGTATAAAAAACCAAAGGCAACATATGTCTTGAATTTTAAACAAAGAAAGATGGTGTGTGAATGGATAAAACAACTAAAGTTTCCAGATGGGTATGCATCTAACATATCATGTAACATTAATGTAGATGAAGGAAAAATATATGAGATGAAAAGCCATGATTGTCATGTTTTTATGCAAAGACTAATTCCTTTGGCATTTCATGACATGTTGTCAAAGCCTAAATGGGGTGTATTAACAAAACTTAGTTTGTTTTTTTAAAGAGATTTGCGTGAATGCAATACATTCTTCTATCATGGACAATGCTAGGAGTTCTATCATTGAAATAATTTGAAAGCTTGAAAAAAAAAATTCCACCAACTTTCTTTGATTCAATGGAACATTTGGTTATACATCTACCATATGAAGTGAAGGTTGGAGGGCCTGTGCAATACAGATGGATGTATCCATTTGATAGATGCATGTTGTATTTGAAAAGAAAGGTTCGCAATAAGGCAAATGTTAAAGGATATATATGTGAAACATATATTTTGGAAGAAATTTCTAATTTTGTTTTTATGTATTTTGATCCCTATATTCAAACAAGACGTACTCAAGTTTCTCGTAATGATGATAATGATGAAGATATAATTTATGAGAAGTTGTTTATTTTTAAACATAATTGTCGTCCTATTGGTATTGGTCATAAAAGAATATTAACAGAAGAAGAGTTTCATATTGTCGAGACATATGTCATTATAAATTGTAAAGAAGTGGAACCATATCTAAAGTAAGTTTTCTTCATAATTACATTTTTTATTCAATTCGATTTGTTACAATATTAATTATTGTATCAATTAGGAAATTTGAAGATTCACTGAAGAATGAAAATCCCAATATCTCTGAGGATGAAATATTGGTATCTCGAGATCAAGTTTTCAATAGGTGGTTAAAACATTAAGTGAGTCTTTCTCCATAGCAGTCTATAGTGTATAATGTGACATTCATTATAGTAAGTGATGTACTTTTGACTTTTCTCTTTA